AAAGAAGAATAAAAGACTTTTGTATATAAAACACCTGATTTTTTTCACACTAGTTCAGTAACTAGATTAGATTTTTGAAGAGAATCTAATAAACTAAAATTGATTTTTGAGATAAATCAATAAAATCTTTATAATCTCTTTCTTGAGATACAGTGAGAAAGAGTATGATATCAATTAATAATGAATTAGATGATATAACAGTTTTTAAGAGAAAAACTGACAAAAAATAAATTAATTTTTTGCAGAGAAATTGATTAAAACTATTCAATTTTATTCTAAATCATTCAATTCTTCTCACACAACAAGTGTGCAACTCAAATCAGTTAATAAAGAGTGTAAAAAAGAATTAAGTATTAATGAAAGCTCTTCAGTCACTGGAAAAGTAATTCTTACTTAAAAGAATATGAAATTATGATAGAAAACAGCTCTATTTTTTATTCTTTGTAAGAATATTATATAAAACTCAGAGAAAAATACCTTACTTTTTCAAGAGAAGTAAAAAACTATTTCTAAGATCTTTTTTTTGTATTAACTGCTGTAGAAGAATGAGATAGAAACTGCTAAGATATGCACTACTATATACTCTCTATCAAGACTTTCCCTCTTCAGAGTCTTGATATTATAGAGAATATAAGTCTATTTCTATATAATAATATAAATATTGTCAGTGAGATGTAGAGGAACTGGTTATTTATATCTCAAAATAGAAGACTTTGTTAATGATTATATCAATATAGAGTTAATTCTCAAATTCAATAGAAATCTAGTATTGCTGTTCTCAATTTCTTACAGAATCTATTGAATATTGAGATATTAAAGCTAGATTTAATATATCTCACTGTACAGGGATCAAAGGCTCAGTCAGATCTTGAAGTATACTGATTTTATAGTTATTGATGTGCTGTTGACTCATTGTTCACTGATTATGTATTGAATGCTGTTGCTGAGGTATCTTTTTGTATTATTCTGTCAGGGATGAGCCAGATTGAGAGGGGTAGTACAAGGGTGAGACTTGATGTTGAAGTCTAGATACACTGATGACAGACTGTGGAGGTTGCACTTCAGAAGAGTCTGTTGATTATATGCTTGATATTATTGCTGAGGTATCTTTTTGTATTTTTCTGCCGGGGATGGGCCAGATTGGGAAGGGCGGTACGAGAGTGAGACTTGGTGTTGGTGTTTTGAAACATCAAAGATGGACAGGGTTTTCGCGGAGGTCGCTCCTCGGATATCTCCACAACTACAGGTTGGGGATCTTCCAAAATCAAGAAGATTGGTGCATATGGCTAGGTCTCTTCACCTTACAATTTGTATGGCACTTTGGCCCGGGGTTGTGGTGTGGTAGGGGAGAACAGGGGATAATCCCACACAGGAGTTTTGAACAACGTCCGGTTCACATTTGGCTGGATAACTCCACCACCACACAGGGTATGCGGTCGGCGATGGGGTCAGAATGCTCGTATGATCGAGGGCTTTTTGATGGATCTATCGGCGGGTTCTTATTCGAAAAATCGAGCGAGTTCGTGGTGGAGCTTTTTGGCCACTAATTAAATTAGATCTAATTTCATAAATGATACTGAGTCTCTCACTCTGAATTCTTACACACTCAGATAATGCAAGAGATGCATGATTTATATAGAATTAGTTATTCAGGCTGTAAACAACTGTATAGAATGATCTTCTGAGAGTTCTACTAGTCTGAGATATTAAACAGCATTAGATACTTCATCTGAAACTGTAATTACTGTTCTTCTGTTATCTCATGAAAGAACTGTAGAAAAGATCTATTGAAATCACTCAATGTCTCTGATAGAATCTGATGAGATGTAACAATTGACTTCACTATTAATCTATCTGAGAGTAAGAGTTGTAGAAACATTCTGATTATTGTGAATTAACTGAGTAAAGATGTAATATTGAAATCTTATAATAAGATAAATACTGAATAAGTTATTAAAGCTTTTCTACAGAGTCTGTTCTATTAAATGTATAGATTACTGAGATCTATAATATTGAATTGAGACTGTCAATTTATGAGTGCTCTCTGAACAAGAATCTGTTAAGTTCTCAAGATTATACACTGTCTATCAACTGTCTATCACTCTGAGACTGATAATGTATCAGAACAGATAATTCAGACTGTGAAGAATTATCTCTATAAGTTCTATAATCACTTATAAGATAATTGATATAATCTTCTTCTACATGCAGAGATCACTATCAACAGTTGAGATACTGTTTTAATAGATATAAGTCTGTTCTTTCTTATACACAGATATCACATGAAAGTGTTGAATCTTCTAGAGACTACACAGTTCACACTGAACCTTCACAGTCTGATTCAGATCACTGATAATATAGTAATAAAACTCTGAGATATCTGTGATTGAACAGAGATCTTCATAATAACTGTAAAACAAGATTAAGAGAATTAAATCAATGTTCACTGAGACTCTGCTGAATAATATAAGATAGAAGATCTGATATAATTGAATCTTAAGAATATATAAATCACATATTCATCTTATACACTAGATTACTGTTATATCAAGTATAAAGTGATTGAAGTTCTAGATAGTCACAACTACTGTCTTAACACATCATCAGAAATTTATAATATATTCTACACAAGCTTCTCTGCTGTGCTATCACTGATTCATTCTCTTCTCAGCTGACTTCTGACTGACAGTTATCAGATATTATAGAAGAAGATAATGAGCTTGAGTAAGAGATTGAGAATATTCTTGATAAGAGATCTCATGACTGCAGTTAGCAATATCTTATGAAATGAGTTAGCTATAATTAACTGATCTGAACTCTGAGTTTTATATTATCTGAAACAGTGACTCTTGACTGATGAGAACTGCTTCTGAAAGAGAGAACTAATGTGACAGGCTGTGCTTAATCAATTATATAGACTATTCTGTTACACTTCACAGATTTCAACTACTTTATTCTTGAACATGTACACTCTGATTCTCAGTCATTCTCAATCACTGATTCTCAGCTGCTACAAACATGTGTATATTCTCTCACCTTGAAGCTCCACCATGTACATCATCACATATGCATATAAATATTCATCTTGATTGCTGATTCTCGCACTTTCTTCTTCTTTTCTTCTCTAATGTTTTTATCTTTGTTATATAAGACCTATCAATATTATACTAATCTATTCAGTGTAGGCCTCTTACACTTATTCTGTACAGCAGTTTCAGATAATATATACACTTCTAAAGAGATTGTGAACAATTGTAATAAGATTTTCAGATTCAGTATAGTTATCTATCTGTGTAAACATTTAATCTTCTACTACAGATTTAAGACCTGGTTTTCTCTATTCTTATTAATGATGATAATTGTGTTGATAAAGCTCTTTATAGTGAATACTTGATCTGCAGTGAATGTTAATTATTGTTTAACTTCTGTCTCAGTCTGTCACTGTGTATGCAAGACCTTAATTTCATTTAGAATTCTTGTATGTGTACAGAGCTTTGATTTCAGTTCAGCAGTCTTAGCTGCTTTTCTTACTACTTTGAGTAAACTCTCTGAAAGGTTCTGTATACCTTCTAGTTCAGATAGCAGAGAAGAATGTTTATATTAACTAGAGAAGGTATTCATTTCAGTAATTTCTCATTGATTGTATAATATCTATCATTATATCACTGTATTATTATATGATTTCTGTTATTATTGTATAACTCTGATGATAATCATCTCTTCTTTTTATTCTTCTTTTGAGTAGAGAGCAGACTTCTTTGAATCTGATTTACTACTCTCATCTCTTTTCTCATATCTCATCTGTTTGCATACAATACATGGTATTCATCTGAGTGTGAAGTTTTTCCCTTAACAAGTGAAGCAGTATTAATTAAATACTCTTTCACTTATCACTCTTTATACACTATCTTTTGAGATGTTTTTAGAACCACACTGGCATGATAACTATGAATTACTTCATAGATGAAATTATCACACTCTGAAAAAGTCTGTGCTTCTTACTGATTTTTAGACATGCTATCAGATGTGATTCAAAGGTTGCTTGAGTCAGTGTATGATTACAGGCATACGCCGGCTTCTTATATACTGTACACTAAATTAATTGGTGGCCGCTATGGCCCCTTTACATTCGTAAGCAAGTTCGGAGGCGGCCGCGTTATTATCCGGCGGTTGTACGTTCTTCCGAACCACACCTGCACTCAAGAAGTTTGAGATGAATGTGTAGAGTTATCAGTTTCTGATATCTCAGAATAGTGCTTATTCATCATCTCTTTATAGAGAGTTCTGAGTCTGTTGTTTCTCTATCATATATCAACACTGTGTATCAATCAGTTTTGATTTCATGAAGATACTGTGAGAGAGGTTGAACGTGGTTAGTTGTTGTTATCTAACTAGTAGCTAGTGAAAGCTAAATATATGTGTGTGGGTCACGTGGGTTAGGGCTTGTGTAGTAGCTCCAACACCCCCCCATGCTACGCAGGCCAGTTAACCCATGCAGTCAAAAGCGCTCAAATTATTCAAATCTGCAATAATAATTAATTACACAAAGTAGAGTCTAGTTTTCTCATAAGGACTAGCTCCATACATGCAAATACACGCGAATATGCAAGAAAAAACACTCAAATCCGTCCTTCCTGTATCTGTATTACCCCCCCAGTCATCTGAACACTGCGGGGTCTCATTTCTCATATTTTTGTCATTTTATTGTTATTGTTATCGTGGTTATCATATAGGCACACTCAGTGGCCTGGTTATCATGGGTTATCGTGGTTATCATATAGGCACACTCGGTGGCCTGGTTATCGTGGGTTATCATGGTTATCATATAGGCACACTCGGTGGCCTGGTTATCGTGAGTTATCATGGTTATCATATAGGCACTCGGTGGCCTGGTTATCGTGGGTTATCATGGTTATCATGGGGTATCATCTTTATCCTGGGTTATCATATGGGCATTCAACAGCCCGGGTATCATGGTTATCGGTATCATGGTTATCATTTTAGTAGACATGCTCAACAGTGGTGTATGTAGGCGCTGAGCTTTCATTATTATTCTTTGTTCTATCCTTCCAATCAACAGGACGCTTTTCAGGGTGTGTGAACCAGCAGTAAGGCTCTTCATGGCCATCCTGCTTGCAGTGGGTGCACTTCTTGTTGTTCTTCTTATTATCCTTATCCTTCTTGATGGTGTCTTTGGCATTCTTTGTGTCATCTCTGGCATTTTTGTCATCCAACGGCAGGCGGAGTAGTATATCTCTGCAGAGATCAAGGAAACCATCTTCTAGTGATGTGACATTATCATTCTTTGCTGCATAGTCCATGCGATCTCTGATAAAGGTTGACCACTTCTTGGTGAGGCCGTTGAGGAGCTTGTTGAAGAATATGAAGTTGGGGATATTAGCATATCCAAGGCAGATATACTCAACGCGGATTGCAAGCAGGCATTCTATGAACAAGCAGTTGAAGCCATCATAGGTGGCAGTTGCACTGATATCATTGAATTCCTTGGACAGGCAAGCTCTGCAGATTTCCACCCATTCTGAAAAGAATGCTGCTATGATGTTTCATAGAGCAGCAGAACTTAGGGAACCTTGAGGTATAGTAAAAAGAGATTTGGCTTCAATAGAAACAGAAGATCATACAAAATTGTATAGCCAGGAGTTGCATTCCTCCCAGAATCATTTCATATCCTTAGAGGCATTCTCCAAGGGTTTTGTAGTTGCATTCAGGAGATCTTCTGTGTGAGATTGCTTGATGACAAGCAGAATCTCTTCCTTCCAAATGGGATAATCAGATGTTGATTTGAGAAGACCTGGTTTTTGAAGGTATTTGACGCGTTCACGGAATTCTTGAAGGACTCTGCTCAGTGCAGGGGTGTCGCCTTGATTTTGAAGGTATTCTGCAAGATCAGGGCTTAGATCATTGCCATCATTGACAGTAGTTGTAGCTGGAGTGCTTTGATTGGCAGGGGCAGTTCTCATTCAGTGTATTTCCTCATCCTTCTGAGCAATAAGCTGCCTCAGAATGGTGGCTTCATCATGGTCTGCCATATCTTCGGGTTCTGGAGGATTATCTTGGGCTTGATTATTGCATCGTCTTCGCGCGGTTATTGGTGTTGGAAAGAATCCAGCTATCTGATTCTCTGAAGTCTCTTCGCGGTTGATCAATCTCGTATTGACAGGCATTTGATATGGGGTATTTGAATGAAAAAAGCAGCTATTTGAAAAGCTTATTGTATGATTATTGCATGGTTATAACACTTCATAGAAGTGCAAGGGCTTCATAACCTGTGAGAGAGGTTGAACGTGGTTAGTTGTTGTTATCTAACTAGTAGCTAGTGAAAGCTAAATATATGTGTGTGGGTCACGTGGGTTAGGGCTTGTGTAGTAGCTTCAACAGATACTTCATGTGATGTAATTAAATATATCAGTTAGACTGTTTAATCTCACAGCATTCTTAACATCTTTCTTGAATTGAGAGATTGTCTTGCCTATATAGCTATTCAGTTTATAAAGGTTGAATTTCAATCTTTCACTGAGATTAGAATCTCATATAACTGTAAAGATAATAACAGAATGATTATTAACATTCTGTGATCAATCTGTAGAGAATCTCTATTAATAAAGTTTTTTCAGTTGTAATTTAAGTTCTAGAACTCTTTACTTCTTCTTCTTTATCTTAAATATTATCTTGAGATGTTTTATCTGTTAATCTGATATTATCTTGTCTGAATGACAGACTTCATGAGAATCAGCATTAAGCTGTTAAGTAGATCAGAGAGCCGGCCTGACTGTGTCAGAAGCTGTATTTAAACCAGCTTTAAATTAAGAGAGTGTTTTGAAATGTTTATTAATGAAGCTTTTAAATACTTCAGAAGAATGTTCACTGACAGATTATAAGTGTGAAGAATTATCATTATCAACTGCAACTGACACAGTGAAAAGAATGTGAGATTATAAACATGTATATAAGTGAGATTGTATTAAATCTGTCATCTTAATATTCATTTATTAAATTCTTGTCAATATTATTCTCTTTTTCTTACTTTTTTACAAATGTGATGCAGTTTCTGCAAACTTCTTTTTTAAGTGAGCAGTAGTATTATTGATCAACAAGATCTCAAATACATCAATACTAATAGAATAAGACAATTTTAACACCTGATAGATGTATTAAATGAAGCAGTAGTTAAATAATAATTATATTGACAAGGAATTCTGAATTAACAGTGTTTTTGCCTAAAATGAGTCTTATAACCTGTGAAAGGTGTAAAGCTTGTGTGATTAAAAGATTGCTAGCTTGTGAAAAGTTATATAATGAAAGGATTAGTAAGTCAGATCACGTGACCTGACATCTTTACTCTGTAAATATAAGAAATTCTTAGAAGAGAATTCTGTGACTCATTACTCTATTCATAAAGTACTAAAGAGTGAAAGAGAATATCAGATCAAAGAGATTGTTAACTCAGAGAAGTAAGATTATAAGCTCTGATTCAAGGTTCAGTGATAAGAGTATTCTGATAAAATGAATAAGTTCACTTGAGACTTATCTGAGCAGATAAGATATCTGTAAAAGCTAAGACATAACTTTCATACTGTGAATTCTGATAAGTTAGAATAATACAGTCTTCATTAAGAATCTGATTGTGATAAAGATATTAATACTATTATTTATAAACTCTAGTCTACAAGATAATAAGTTTCTGCTGAGATAAATAGTTCACAGTGTATATAAAGAAAAGAAGAAATCATATTATTATTAAAGTTATAAATAAAGAAAAATAAAAACAGAACTATGAACATAATTTAAAGATTAATAAAGAAAAAATAAAGAAAATTCACACTTATATTCTTAATATCTGTGATACTTAATTTCTCTGTAACTATTAATTCTTCTCTTAAAAGAAGCAGAAAGTATCATATCTATGATACAGACAATTATTGCATTTAATATAAAGACTGCTAGAAATACACAGATTTCAAGAGAGCTGAATATCAGAGTCTATACAGTTGCAGCAGAGTCTTGAAGACTAGTTATCTGTATATATAATCAGATACTTCTTACAAAGCTGTGTTTACTCTCTCAGTTATACTGAAGTATTCAATCTGAAAGTAATTGAAATGTGAAGAGAGAGCTCATCTACTCAGATTAACTTCTATCATGAATTTATAATATTCACATTGTCTTAATTATCTGAATTTTATAAGTTCTAAGAACTTATCTCTTATTAATAATAAAATTGCTGAAATGCGCTGCAGTGTAAAAACTGTTGATAAAGAATCTAGATATATTTACATATATCTGATTAAAGATTATACAGATAGAGAGAAGATAATTATAGATCTTTGAGACTGCAGAAATCACTGACAGTACTGAGAGCTTTATAGAAGCTATTAGTTAGAGTCTGTAAGAAATTACTTACAGAAAAACTTATGGTAAAGAGTGAGACTGTGCTACTAAAAGTCAGAGACTGCTCTAAGAGAGGTATGAGATTGACTACTGATCTGAAGATTGAGTGCAGTGACAGAGCTGAGAGAAATAAAGATACTATTGTAGATGATGATGTCTCTACTTTATAAGTTAGTAAAAAGTGATCAGAGAAGTTGTAGAGATACTTATAAAAAGTGTAACAGTAGTCAGATATTATTTATAAAGATATTAAAGTTGAAAGAATTTTTATTCTTAAGAAGTTCTTGAATTAATATATAAATATTGTCAGGAACACTCTCTCTCTGTCATCTAGATAAAAAGACTTTGTAAATGAATGAGAATACTCACAGTTTATAAAAATAAGAGCTGTTATAGAAAAAGAAAAAAGAAGATGAGATTTCACAGATAGATCTGAGATATTTATACTACTCTAGAGAGATTTATTAACACTATAAGTGATTTTATAAAACAGTCAGATTGCTCTAGTAAATAAAGAGTGATTATAAATTGCAGATCTTTATCTTTCAATATAACTATAAAAAGTAATTATAGACTGTGAATATCTTAATTCTACAATTCTACAGAGTTGATAAAAGAAAAGAAAATTTCTTACAACTCTATAATATCAAAGAATGATAATTTATAAGAATGAGTAAAAGATTAACTCATAAATACTTCTCTTTAATAAGAATAATCTTATAGAAAGTGATTTATCTGTAAGATAAATTTATATAATAATTATATAGAAATCTTACAGAAATAATTGAGAGTCAACTGAAACTCTTCTGTATAAAAGATATGAGATAAATCTGTATAATAATCAGAGGAAGATCTGCAGATTACAAAGAATCTTACAGAATAAGAAACTGAGTGATAGACTCTTTTCTCTTTATAGTAATAAGGAATTGTTTCTCACTAAGATTTTTTATAGATATGAAGAATTTTTAGTGAGTATTACTACAGTGCTGAGTCTGATTCTATGAAATCACTCAGTGAAAGACTTCATAGATAAAGTCTTAGAGAGAAGAGAGTATATAAGAAATTCTGCTTCTTACAGATTCTTTATCTCTATTTCTATCTCTTATGTAATTAATAGAGTTAGCAGCTCTTGACTACATACAACTATATAGACTGAAGTTCGCGAATACTATTTATAACATAGCTTAAATACTATTATACATTTAATCTCTACATTTATCTTTCTATCATGAATATTTCTAGTACTTAATAGTATATATCATATCAAGCTGTAAACATCTGAATGACCGCCTGCGAGCACTTATTCTTAAACTAGACAACTACAAGAGATGATTGAGTTCAAACTTGGAATTTTAAACACAGTTTAAAAAATATTGATAACTTCTAGTATAATCACTGACTCTTCTTTTCTTCTTCTTCTTCTTCGTCTTCTTCAAATAAGAAGAAAATGTATGCTCAAGTAGCAGAATCTGCTGTCTTTAAACCTGCTATCTCAAAACCTGCTCAAAATTGTGAGAAAACTGCGAAGAATATTACTCAGACCTCTGTTCATAGAAAAGAAGAGAAAAAAATATAAAAAGAGAAAAACTTTTAAATCTCTAGAAATAGAAGACTTATTCTCAAAGTCTCAAATCAGAAGACCTTGTAAAGAAACAAGCTAAACTTAAATCTTATTTTCAGAATTAGAATTGAAAGTAGTCAGCAGTTCTTTTCTCAATTAATGACTGATACTGAAGTTTAAAAATTAGTTATAGCTTCAATTGAGTTATCTTTCTTTGAAAATTTCATCATTCTGACTACAATGCCTGAATTCAGTGCAGAATTTCTCATTTAGAATAAGAATCTCTGAAAGTCAGTAATAGAATCTCTGTTAAATACAATAATTCTATCTGAGAGAGATAAAAAGTAAGATAAATTCATTCTTTATAATATTTCAGTTGAAATTTTTGACTGTGAGAAAGAAATACTACTTCTTGAAAATAAATTAGAAGAATACAATTCTATTTAACTGAGAAAAGAGTCTGTATGACTAAATTCAATTGAGTTCAGACAGAGTAGAAAAAATGCCTCTGTTTTAGTATATATAAAGATACTTAAATAATCAAGAATCTCTGAAGTAAGAGTGACAGATTTGAAAATGAGAGTTCATGAATACAAAGACTCAAGAATAAATCTCAAAGCTTAAACACAGTATTCAAACTGTCAAAGATATAAATACTTTGTTATTATTATTATTATTATTATTCTTCAATTATAGATGTATGCAGTCAGAGACTATAACATCTACCTGAGAACTTTTAGTTCTCAGGGTTTTTCCTATATCTGTAAAGTTAACTATTATACATTCATCAATTTCAGATATGCAAAATCAGAAAATTCCAGCTCAGAATACAAAAACTGTTTACAAATTACAGTGTTTTAACATCTTCTAATACTTTGAAACCATTTGACAATATCATGACAAAGGAAAAGAGAAAGAGAACACAGTCTTAAAGATAGACACATTAAATAGATAGATAGAAAGGAATTGAAAGGAAAAGATAAAGTAAAGAGAGACTATAACAAAACAAATTATTAAAAGATAGTATATAGCTGTTTTAACAGACTATATCTGATTGATTTTCTCCTCTTCATATTCAGATAATTCTGAATTTAGCCATTATCTTATAGCTGCTTGAGTTTCTGATAGAAAGTCTATTAAGTATTTAATTCCTGTCTCAGTTGAGAATAAGAATCTCATATTTAATTGATTTAGATTATACTTCTCTTTCAATCTGACTCTGAGACTATTGTATAATGCACAGTGCATTACAATATGCTCAGAATTCTCATTTACATTGCAGAATGAGCATTCTATTGAGTCAAATCTATCATCAAATCTTTGTATATAAGATTTGAAATAGCCATGTTCTAGTTTCAGCTGTATTATAGATGAGAATATTTTCTTTTTATATTTAATTGAACAAGATTTTCACTT